ACCCCTTCTCCCCCAGGCTCAAACCCATCCAGAAGATGGAGGGCATGACCAATGGTGTGGCCGTGGGGCCACAACAGGCCACCGGGCTGTCAGACATCAGTGCGCAGGTCCAGCAGTACCAGCAATTCCTGGGTGAGAGCCCCCTGGCCTATGGGCTGGGGCCTGGTCAGGGTTTGTGGTCCCCAGGAGGTTTGCTTGTCTTCTCTGAGCCTTGTCATCCCCCACTACACATGGGGGACTCCTGCTTAGTAGGAAAGTGGTGACAATCAGATCCCAGGATGAGGCTCCAAGGGGACAGGCAGGTAGGGGACAAAGGGCCTCATGGTGTCCCTTCCTGCCCCCAGATGCCTCGAGGAGCCTCCCTGACTTCTCAGAGCTCGACATCCAGGGCAAAGTGCTACCCGAGGGCATCGGGCCTGGGGACATCAAGGCCTTCCAGGTCCTGTACCGGGAACACTGTGAGGTAGGGCAGCCTGACTGGTAGGCGGGGTGAGGGAGGGCCATGCTGTCCCCCAACACCCCTGAATGTCCAGCCTCCCCAATAGGCCATCGTTGACGTCATGGTGAACCTGCAGTTCACCCTGGTGGAGACACTGTGGAAAACCTTCTGGAGGTACAACCTCAGCCAGCCCAGTGAGGCACCACCTCTGGCCGTGTGAGTCTAGGAGAGAGCAGGGAGGAGGGGAGAAAGGGGGAGGACTGTGTGAATCAGTACCCAGGGCTGGGGGGGCTGGACCTCAGGCATCCTGCAGTTGGTAGGGTAAACATGGCCTTCTGACCCCCCCTCCATAGTGTGCATGTGTATAGGTCTGACACTGAGTGCATGGGATGGGGTGCCCCACTGAATCATTTCCTCCCTGCAGTGGGTGGGTGGGTACCTGTGTCCCAGTATGCAGAGTATAAGACCCCATCAGACCCTGGAGGCACTGGAGCTGATGTCAGCCTGATCTCAAGGGTCAGCCAGAGGCAGAAAGCACCTGCCTGACCCCAGGGGTGGGGTGCCCACAGGCATGACGAGGCAGAAAAGCGGCTACCCAAGGCCAGCTTGGTGCTGCTATCCAAGTTTGAGCCCGTGCTGCAGTGGACCAAGCACTGTGACAACGTGCTATACCAGGGCCTGGTGGAGATCCTTATCCCCGATGTGCTGCGGCCCATCCCCAGTGAGTGTACTGCTGCTGCCCCCTCAACCCCACTCCCCGCCCACAACCCCTCAGTCCTCATCAGCCCCCACTGCCACCCACAGGTGCCTTGACCCAAGCAATCCGGAACTTTGCCAAGAGCCTGGAAAGCTGGCTCACCCATGCCATGGTGAACATCCCTGAGGAGATGCTGCGGGTGAAGGTGAGGGTGTGGAAGGCCAGCCTGGGTTCAGCCCAGCTCCCCTCTCCCAGCTGCAGGGCCGAGGTCTGGGGGCTGGTGACTGGGTACCTCAGTACCCTGCCCAGTAGAGGCAGTAAGATTTGTCCCCATGCCTGTCCCCTTGGAGCGAGCTTTGGGCGTTTTCTTACAAACCAGCTTCCTCAGTTACCCATTTCTGAAACAATCCCTTTGTAGTTTTTTTGTACACAACACAGCATCTTAAAAATCAACTGCAGCCCTGGCCTGTGTGGCTCAGTTGGTTAGAACATCATCCCATACACCAAAAGGTGGTGGGTCAGATCCCAGGTTGGGGCGCATATGGGAGGCAACCAGTCACTATTTCTCTCTCACATCTCTTTCCCTCTCTCTCTCCTCCCTACCCCCCTCTCTGAAATCGATGAGCTTGTCCTCCAGTGAGCATTAAAACAAAAAACTGCAAACTTGAAGTAGTTTTCTTCAGACATGCTCAAGAGAAAGTGCTTTAAGTGTTCAGAAATGGATAAAATCTAAAATAAAAAAAAAGACACTGACAAGAAAACAGAACAATAGCCCTCTTCGTCAGTGCTGCATATTCACTAACTAAGAAGTGAGGAATTAGATTGTAAGTGCTTGCTCTTGGGCAAAAAAGGGAAAAAAAGGGTTTTTTAGTCTGTAAACTTCTAACAAGACAACTAAACAGAACTGATGTCTAAAGAATCACCCCTGGGTACACTGGACACAGAGCAGGGCTGGGAGACTGTGGGGAGAGTAGAAGCTGGATCCAGGGGAAAACCCTTCAGAACTGACAAGACTAGTGTATTCACTCATTTATTAAACACACATTTATTGAGTGCTTACTGTGTGCCCACCATGGTTCTTAGTGCTAGCAGCACAGCAATGACCAAGATGAACAAAATTCCCTCTTTGTGGAGCTGACATTCACTAGAGTAATTGAAACAAAATAGAACAAAACTTTATTGGAGCAATGCCCTTTCTGGACAGTGCCCTCTGAGATTTTGTTGTGTCCAATAATAATAATAATGGTTGTCAGACACAAACCATTGATTATTATTATTATTTTTTTTTACCCACACTTTGGGTGGTGGACACCCAAAATTTGAAATCTCCAACCCCTTGATCTCCCAACAAAAGCAACAAGGTATACTCCCACCCTTCTTAGGAGAAAGAAAAGGGCTCAGAGAGGTGGTGTGTGGGTTCTGTGGAAGCCGCAAGTTACCCCCAATCGCCCCCAGGTGGCAGCTGCTGGCGCCTTTGCGCAAACCCTGCGGCGCTACACGTCACTTAACCACTTGGCGCAGGCGGCGCGCGCTGTGCTGCAGAATACAGCGCAGATCAATCAGATGCTGAGCGACCTTAACCGTGTGGACTTCGCCAACGTGCAGGTGAGCGCAGGGCGGGGCAGGTGAGCGTAGAGCTAGAGGGGGTGGGCCACCGGGCCTGGGGTGGCGGCTGAGTCAGGGGGGCCTCCTCCCACTGTGCCCCAGGAGCAGGCCTCGTGGGTGTGCCGCTGCGAGGACCGCGTAGTGCAGCGGCTGGAGCAGGACTTCAAGGTGACACTGCAGCAGCAGAACTCACTGGAGCAGTGGGCGGCCTGGCTGGACGGCGTCGTGAGTCAAGTGCTCAAGCCCTACCAGGGCAGCGCCGGCTTTCCCAAGGCCGCCAAGCTGTTCCTCCTCAAGTGGTCCTTCTACAGGTGCCGCCGGCTAGGGGGATCTGGGGTGGGCGGGGCCGAAGGAGGCCCTGCCTCCTTGGAGGGAGTGGGACCAGAGAAGGCCCCGCCATCCTGGAGGGTTAGGTGGCCTTTTATAAAGGTAGATGTCTTGGTGGAGGTGGGGGCCGCGAGAGCCCTCTGCTCTCACTGGCACATCGCACGGAAGCCTGTACGGTCCGACTTGGGTAGCTGGGCTTGCTGGAGCCTGCCTCGGGAATGGCGGGATGAGGGGCGGAACCCAGCCTTATGCCTTCTCTCCGCTGCTGCCCCAGCTCCATGGTGATTAGGGACCTGACCCTGCGCAGCGCAGCCAGCTTCGGCTCCTTCCACCTCATACGGCTGCTCTACGATGAGTACATGTACTACCTGATCGAGCACCGAGTGGCCCAGGCCAAGGGCGAGACCCCCATTGCTGTCATGGGCGAGGTGCGAGGCGGAGCGCTGAGGGTGTGGGCGGGGCACCCCTTGGCGGGACTCTCACCCTTTCTCCTCTCCCCTTCTTCCAGTTCGCCAACCTGGCCACCTCGCTGAACCCTCTAGACCCCGACAAAGGTAGATGGGGCTTGTCCCTGCCCCTGGCCCAAATCCGGGATGGGGCGGGGCGCAGGCTGGGGTGAGAGGTACCTGCTGCAGGGGGCTGGGGACTCCACGCCCTGCGCTCATGGTACTGACCTGTGTGCCCCAGATGAGGAGGAGGAAGAGGAGGAGGAGAGCGAGGACGAGCTGCCACAGGATATATCGCTGGCGGCCGGTGGCGAGTCTCCCGCGCTGGGCCCGGAGGCCCTGGAGCCTCCAACCAAGCTTGCCCGGACAGACGCGCGAGGCCTCTTCGTGCAGGCGCTGCCTTCCAGCTAACCCCCTGGCCTCCCTTGTCCCGCTCCCCGCCCCCTCCGCTCTCCACTCTAGGGTCCCTCACAGCTTCTGTGGCTTCGCTGTCCCCACTCCAGCCTCTGCCAGGGCGGGGAGGGGGCCTCCTAGACAGGGAAGGCAAGGGGGTCCCTGCCCCGGACGGGTCCGGCACAATCACAGGGCCGGGTGAAGCCACAGCTGCAAACTGACACAAAAGACGTGCCTTAAGGAACCCGATGCTGTGCCCAGGTGCCCTTTGGGGCAGCAGCCTGGCCCCTTGACCCGGAAGGCAGCAGCCTCTCCCTCCCCGCCCTCAGGGGGCAGGCAGGCAGGCCCCCCTACCCTGTTAACTTATTCAGCTCGCTGGCTTTGCACAGCCTGTCCTGGGCCCAGCCCTGAGCCCCGGGTGGGCACAGGTGGGCATCACCTAGGGACCGCCCCTACTGTCAGCAGCAGCCCTGGGACCCCTCCCCCAGCAACCCCACTGCTCCCTCCTCCTTGGTATAAGTGCAATTAAAGCCGTGGGTGTCGCATCTTCTCTAGAGCTGGGTCCTCCCTTGCCCCATAGCCCTGGAAGGGGGCACTGCCCGGCCTGGCTCTAGCGAGGGCCACAGGGGGCACCACCTCCAGCTTCCAAAGAGCAGTGGGCTGGGCCTGGTGCCGGAGCCCGGAGGGGCCTGCTGCAGGCAGCAGGGCCTGTAAGTGGCCTGCTCCGTCAAGGCCTGGGCTCCACTCGCTCAGATCCAAGACCCCCACATCCCACAGCTGGTTTGTAATGGAACCTCCGTGCTTCTCCCTGCTGTGCGCCGCCCCCCACATGACTATTGTGCGATTTGTGAGTGCCACCCAAGCGGGGTCGGTAACTTGGGTTTTTTTCCAACCATCATGGCCTTATCTGTTCCAGTTTTCTCAGTGTTTTCAACCTGTGAGATAGATGTTTATGGCAAAAATCACAAAAAAAGAAAAAAAAACACAACTGACTTATTGTATAAAAATCACTATTTTGTGTGCTCCGCAGTGCTGCAAGCTTTTGGGGTGGCCGCCCACTCCCCTCCACGCCCTCCGGCCTCCCCTCCCAGCAGTGAAAGTGTGGTAGTCTAGTGTGCCAAGCGTTTTCTACCTTTTTGTAGTCTTTCTTAAACAATAAACTCTGCTGTGATATTTGGCTACTGCTGACTTGAGGGCC